TCGAGTCATGGCAATGGCCTCGGGCTGTAATGTTATGCTGCAGCATTATGATGACATGGAGGACTATATGTCATATGTTTTGAGATGATTTGACAGACCGGAGGACAAGTGATGGAGGCTGAAGAATGAGAATAAGGAATGCTCGATGTCATGTGGTAAAATGAGCTGTTGGTATACAGTAATTCATAATATAGCATCAGTAAAAAAAAGCAGAGTGATAGTAGCAGGATTACGTTTGTGAGTGGCTTGAGAAACGTACCACTGGTTGTAAAGGATAAGGCTTTTATGTAAAAATATAACTACTGCATAATAGTGGCTTTCCTTGGGAGAGAGTGGACATGCCACAAGCGACGAGTGAGCTCCCGTCCTGTGCTCCGTTGAGCAGGGAAACAGTCCAACACTGAACTGCATAACCGTGAGAGCCCCAAGCTTCTGAACCAGCAAGTTGGTTGGTTGGTTGGTTATTGAAAATGAGAAAGTGGGAAAATTTCTACTTTGTTAGGCAGGTAGAATTGTATTGCATGTTATTGACCTACTTTCTCTCCTTGTCAAATTGTATTCAGTTTTAACACTTACTCCCTCAGTCAGTCTGACAAAACTCCATCTTTTCCTCCATGCTGCATCAATGTTTAACAGCAGCATTCATCGGAAGCAGGCCAAATCTGGACCAGTGTCGACCTTCTGGATATGTTTATTTATATCGTACAAAGGATCTTCCACAACAGCGCATATATTATTAGTTGTTTTTACAAGTCAGATATTTTATGCTGAATAGTCTCCATAGAATATGTGGGTTGTTATTTCAATTAACACCTGGCAATACAGCAGCATTTGTTTCATAGGCTGTGCTGATGGTTTTCCAAATTTTAAAGCCAGGAATGATGTTGCCTACTTAAACAAATTATACTGTTAATACTTGGTCCGGGAGACTCGGAAGTTGATGAACTGAAAACATATTTTGTTGTTTTGTGAAGTGATATATCTTTGTTGATTTATACTATCAACACATTAAAACATTGGTTGCAGCTTCAGTGGATATTCAAGTGCTGTAGCCTGAGCGGGAGGACATGAGGAGGACTTCTCCTGAGGTGGTTATCCAATCAAGATCTCAATAAATAAGCAGGCAATACATTTCTATTGTATATTTGTATTTCGAAAGAACATATAAAAGGTACTGTATGCATTACACAACCAATCAGCCGAACGGGCTTCTGCAGGCACATCATTTCATCAGCATTGATTTTTTGCAAGCAAATTCTGGATCGGTTTTGACATAGTGAGCAGAGTTAAGCTCGCTTGAATTAATGCTGGTGAACTTCCAGATGTTACAGGCAAGGACCTTTTATGTAAGATATGGGGCCTAGTTGAATCAGAATGTGATCACTTCATTCCTCCTCCAGTTTCGAGTGAAACTATGCCCTATTTTTTTAACTCAACCAAGTCACGTTTTTTTTGCCAATGTGCGGTATAATAATGGGAACATAGGCAAAAACTCGGCTTAATAGGGTGTTCCATATGAATACACCTTGTTATCTTTTTTGCATATTGAAAGTCGACATGGAAAGTCCAGGAATTAGGTAATGGCAAAATATTAATTTGCAACTGCACATAGTGGAGGGACGTGAAGACTGTGAGCACGTGACATGGCCGCCCCTCTTTTACAAGGTCTTTTACGACTGGTGGGGAAGTGCACTTTATAGATCATAAATGTTAAGTGATTCCTGCGTTAAAAACAACTAAAATAAAAGTGGACAGCATCACCTGCTTCATTTTTAACTGTCGCAAGGGTATGATTGCTCCCCTCTTCTTTACTGCAAGAGGTGTCAGTGAGCAGATCTTTCTTCTGTGATGCTGTAGCAGAGCTTATTATGACTGAATACATGTATACGCTATGTCTAATACCACGACTGTAACTAGAGCGAGAAAATATAGATGCAAAATATTTAACATCAATTAAAATTATTTATCGTGTTTTGTTATAATCGATATATACTATTATTTGATATACAATGCAGTAACCCTTACAGCAGGTCAAATATACATTTATACTGTTATGAATACGTCAGGCACACGATGATTTACATAACATGATTAATATACATTACCAGCACCTCGGCTGCCTCATGTACCAAAACCTACTTCCGCTGTCCGTATAAACCTGATACATTCTGCAATGTGGTTATTACTTTCTTGGCAGTAACCTTGAGTGTATTTGTATTGTGAAATTTACACATGGATTGTGCATTTTTTCCTTATTGTGCTTTTTTGTAATATTGTACGCTGTTAAGGAATGATGTAGGGCGCTTATTTAGTATTTTATTAGTGGGTGTTTCCCCCCCCCCCCCCAGGTATTGCACCTCTGCAGAACTGAAACTAAATTCCTGATGCTTGCTGAGGCTCACCGGTGTTCTTCATTACCATGTGCAATTATTTTAGCTGTTAGGATGTTGAAATATATCTTACCTTCTTGAACATTAACACTAGAGGAAGCCATTATTCTACCAGACAGGGGTAGGCGGTTTTGGTTCTGATGGGATCCATTTGTGTTTGGTCCAAACAATCACTCACATGAGTTGTATTGCGCCGATTGTACGGTGTTACTTTTATAAATCTAAAATGACATACAGACCTTAGTCAATCTACTCCTGGATGAAGGCCTCCCCATGCAGTATTGGTCATGGAGGTTGGCCATAATTCACCACGATGTTCAGCCTAGGTTGGTGCAGAGGGAGCAACAGCAGGAACCGATTCAGGAATCACTCGCAGTTGATATGAGCTGTGACCGGGAATCAAAATCAGTTGACGACATTTATAAGCACGTTGGGGCTTCGATTCTAAGAGTTAAAATGCTGTTTATTTTGTTGTAAAAAATATTTTGCGTATGTCTAATCCGCTTCATAGGACAACATAGGATCAGCCAATCCAAGCAGCAAATTCTACGATCGGATTTGATTCTTAATTTTCCATAAATATCGGATAGATACTGATTTATGGTACTCTTCTAATTTAAAACATGTTTTTAGTGCAACCCTTTAACATTTAACCTTTAATTTACCACTCCTCGCTGTGTTTATTATTTATGTTATCTGTTTAAAAATAAATGTCAACACAGACGTGAAAGTGGGTAACAGTAAAACCACACTAGAGTTGGTAAATTAACATTTACAACTTTGGTAGTGTTTGTTGCTGCCTTTGGTCTGGTTCTTGGCAAATGTGTTAAACAAACCCACAAAGTCGGGAAGTAAATGTTGAATAAAATATAGGTCCTAGTTTGAAGCATTTTGCATACCTGCTAGAGACCTCTGCTTAGGTATTTTATTTCATTACATCAACTGTGCAGTGACTGACTCAGAGACACTAGGAGTAGGAGGCACTCTGTTTATTAACAGCCTTCACACTTCACAAAAGGTAACTATAGCTCCCAGTCAGAACAGCTGGCAGACTGCCTGATTGACGACGCCGAGATGGTGAAGAGGTAGAAGGCGACGAAGACTCCAGCAGCACGGCGAGATCCCACTCCAGGCAACAGCTCCCCGAGCCTTCGCTCGGGGTCCCCTTTTATCCTCCCAGCGTGGCCTCGCTCCGCCCCGGCCACGCCCCCCTTCTAGAACCTACTCCCTCACGTGCCGCCGCTATCACCTTTGCCCTACATCCCTCTCTCTGGTTTATCACGTGACCTGCTAACAGACAGGGCTGCTGCAACTGCAATTCCCCTTCTCTGTCAGCAACCAGCGCTATGCTACGTAGTGACCAATTCCATGTCACTACAACTGTAATGTTCACCACCAGGAGGGTGATTTTTTCAACAAATGAAGAACATGCTTTACAATGCCATCTTTGTTTTTTTTTCTAAGGTATTGAATATTATTTCGTGATTTAATCATCTTATAAGCAGCTGACATGTCAAGCAACAGCATAACTTACCTCAAATCTGTTCTGCAGTATATCATGAGTAATTTTAACCAGGACAGTCTCGGTTGAGTTTGATTGGCAGAATCCTAATGGAAATTTATGCACGTATATGTATGTAATACTGCTCATGCCGAACAAGGAGATTTTAAATAAAGATGTGTGCAATTGTACGTGCAATGGAAGGGTGAAAATTGTTCTGTAGTTGAAGGCATGGTTGAGGTCACCTGAAGCATTTTTTGTACTAGTATGACATGTGACAACTTTAGACATTGTGCCAAATTTCCACTTTCGAGTCAGGTATTATACAACTTGTTAAAATATAATTTGAGGGAATCGGATCAAAGCCACGCTTTTTGGAATTTTTTTTGCATTATGTTTAGATAGAAACCAGTGATGATCAAAGGCCAATAAGCTGACATCACTGTAATGATAGCGGATTTCCCAATGTTCTTGGGACAAACACTGGAAAAGTTCATCCCCCAAGAGTGCTATTTTGCTCTTAAAACAATTCGAACATTCATGAGCTGATATAGTTGTTTGTTGTCTGTTAAGAGTTTGGTGATATAAATGTATTTGTATATTTATATAGGCCCTGCATTTCTCCGATCCTCAAGGATTCTGTTTTTATTGACCTATCTTCTGGTGACTCATTTTGCTTGAGTAATTCCTTATTTTTATTAATCACAAACGTTATGGAATTTTCTGACCTGATTTTTACAAATGTTATGGCCTTTGGCACCCCTGACGGAGTAGCCAAATGCCATAATTATATCAGTGCTACCCATCGTTGCTTTCTACGTATGCAAATTAATTTCACATCACAGCAAATGTGATGCTGTACTACTGCTCCACCGTCACATCAGTGTTGTGCATGCCCATCATGGTGTAATAAAACGAGCAATTTCCTACTAACTTGAAGGATTAGGTGGGTATATAATTCCTATACTTGGTACCCAGTGGTCATTATGCATTCTAGTTGCAGTCCACGTTTTTTGCTTCACTGGACGATCAAAGAAGAACACTTTTTTGGTGCTGTAACGATACGTAAAGTAATTGCAGGACGTCCTCACTTGTGTGTGTGTGTACAGGGTATCAGGCCGGGCAGGCAAGGACCCCTACATTGAAGAACTGGACGTGGGAGAAGCCAAGGAGAGCTGGGGCAGAGGCACAGGTAAGCGACGGTTTACCATATTGGTCAGAACAAAGCTCCAACGCACACTCTGTATAACAAAGGTAGTGGTGCAGAGCCCTGCAATTCTTTGCTCACGCCACTGCTGGTGGAAGGGCCTCCACTGGAAGGGGCTCTATTGAGCCCCACTTGGAACATATTTTGGCCTGCTTTTCCACACTGCCGATTGACTAACATTGGTGAAACCATTTATATGGCCGTATGTATGTTGAAGATCTTTCGCACCGTACATAGCCAACCGTGCTAATCAGAGGCTGGGTGGACACATGGGAGGATTTAAGAAACTTGCCAATTGTTTTAACTACCATGCTGCAGGATTGAACCAAAGACCTCTGGATTGCAAGTCCAGTATGTTAACCTTTACACCACGGCAGTATCCTATACCCCATAATAACAAATCCAAAATTCACATACGGAGCCTGTAAAAGGCACAGGCGAGGCACATTTTTTCCCAGAACCAAGGTCTAAACATATGCCACGTATGATCACCTATAATCCAGTTTTGATATGCTAAGAAACAAATTTGTAAAACATGCGAGGCCCGGCCGGATTAGTAAATAAGATTACAAGGTGCGCACGCATTAATTGGATGAGCCAGAGGAGCGGTGCATTAAGCCGTGTAAATTTTACGTTTGCCAGAACGTAGTGATTCTCTCAGCCTCTGTCAGTTGTAAACGTGGAAGGCCAGATTGTGGGGTGGGGTTGTGATGAGTATAATAAAATAAAATAAACCACGAATCCCCCTAGGGCTGTATTCCAGTTGAATCTGTGGATGACTGCAGGGGATGGGGGACATCGCCTATATTCGTGCGTCTCTCCCCCAAGCACTCAATCTGTTGATGGGGTATAAGTACGTTCGCTTAGTAGTCCATTTAAAAAAAATGTGTTCCCCACATACCTTTATACCTCAAAATGCTGCTTTTAAGTATGTGTAGTAATTATGATCTGTTGTAATATGTAGCACTTTTTCGAACAAAATTTCGTATTTTTCTATAATTTGTATTTCTCAGTTCTTGTTAAAATGAAGTAGAGCTCCTCATGGCAGTGGACATACTTTATTTTACCTGTCGAGACTTAGACACTCTCTCGCAAGAGATAAGTGGGTCAACAAGTAACAGCAGTGCAGTGCAACACATGCTTAATGAACAACGCAGGCCTAACAAACCTAAAGAATACAACTACACAATGCAGTTCAACTCAACTTTAAAAGCATGTAAACTTATACATTAAAAAAATGTCATCAGATAGTATGTACTTGCAAAATCAAAATATATCATGAAACCCAAGTGCATATTCATTTCAAATGAGGTGTTTAACACGATTAGAAATAAATGCTTTCAAAAATACCAAAATAGCCAGGTTGAAACCAAGCTCAGACCAATTTACTTCTCTCCTCCGGGATGATACTAATTTACCTTTGTCATGCAGGGAGACCTCTCAGAGCCAGAGTAATCAGAGCTTCGTGTGTCATGGGTGATGTCCAGCAGAGTTGGATCATTTAATAATTAACCAAACGTGTAATTAACACTTGACACTTAAATTTAATCAACACGAAATAGCTATTAACAAATAATTAGAGCTATTAACAAGTAGCTATTAGCTAAATTTTACAATTTAATAACACCTGAAACATCACTGCAGTTTCATCTGTGTCCCTTACCATTACCATCGACGTCTAAAGAAATTTCATGATGGGCTCGAATAAGTCTGTTTCATTCAGACTCTGTCGCCTCGACGGACCTGGTTTTCACCTGAGGACGGCTGCTTGCGTTGTGGCCGAAACGTCGTGAGAATTGTTTTATTATGTTTTATTTTTATTATTTTATTACTTCCCTTCTACGTGACTTTACCGAAAGAACCAAGAAGATCCATAAGCTCTGTCCAGTATTTTTCAAGCAGCAAGATAAATATCCCATGACATCCAGCACGGCTACCTTATTCTGTCACGATGCCATACAGCGCCTTGTCAATCCATTGCTGGATGAAGGCCTGCACACGTTTTGTTTCGTCGTGAGGGTTGTGTTGACAGTGCTTCTTCACGCTTGTCGACATGGATTGGTAAGTGGGGGGGGGGGGGGCAGACTCATGACCGGTTTAGATATCACTCGATCACTGATGTTCGCCATGGCCAGGCATTGAACCCAGGTCGCCGGGCTTATGGTGCTTGGGAATTAATGATGCACTTTGAACTTGTATACTTTATTTATGTAAGGGGCGCCACGGTCGTGTGATGTTATATTCTTTGCCTGGTAATGCTGGAGGTCGGGGGTTGATCCCGACCCTGACGCTGGAATATTTGCATGTTCCCCCCGTGGTCGAATGGATTTATTCTCTGGGTCCTTTGATGATTTTTCCCTCCACATTTATAAACATACATTGAGATTATTTAGATTATTTTGCTGCTGTAAATTTCCACGTGATGAGCCACTTTGTTGAGTTGTCATTTGTGGCCAGGTCGCTTCTGAAAAATAAGTTAATACCTCCGTGGGAAATTGAGCATAGGTCGCCGGGTTCGTCATGCGATGTGCCCAACCACTGAGCCACTGCTCCACCGACGTTATAAGGCATGATAGCGGTGATGATTTGTTTTTGTCCGAGGCTGTTACACCACTGGCAATATGACCCATTATGTTATTTAAATAATGGCAGGACATTATATATTTTTTCCATGCAGAAAACTATACTTCTGATACTCGTGTCGCAGAAATGTCAACGATCGGACCTATTGTGGTATGTTGCTATAGTAACCCCAAGTCAGATTTATTTAAATACATCCTGTATTTAAAAATAATTCGAACAATGGGGACGATATGTAATTGGGTTTTCACTTGGATAAATTACTTAATTCATCATTAATTAAATCAGAATTTAACCTAATGACGAACCCCAATGTAAATATATTATAACATGATTAATTAATTTAAAATGTTTTCAGCGATGAAGTCATTGATTAAAAGCGTGGCAATTGCCATTTTCCAAGGCAACGTTAGGTTTCACAATTGAAAGGAGGATTGTTAAGTGACATAATTGCTCCCGTGGATTTCCCCTGCCCCTTGGAATAACCATGCCAGGCACGTTCTCTCTGCGAGACGGTAAAATATCTACCATCTTTGGGGCAAGTCCACATTTTATTGCGGAGTGGACGGGGAGTGTGTATGTGCATGCATGGGGACAGAGAAGGATGTCTTTTTGCTGGCTAACCAGGTGCAACGTACACACCAAGTGCAGACATAAACTGCCGCTAAGATTTACAGATTGTGACAACGGGCACTGCAAGGTGCTCACACAATAGCCTGGCTTCACATCTGAGCAAACGAGGAATGCAGCAAGCAAGCACTGTTTTTCATGTAAACAATTAATCCCGTGCCTGCAAGCTCTGATGAGAAGCGGTACTCGTGAATACTGTTGATAGGATGGGGAGAGGGGAAACATACACCTATGTCTTCAACACGTAAATAAAATGCAGCGAAATATTCGGGCAGTTTTGCACTAGAAAAAAACTGCTGCAATACAAATGACAATCCAGGCTGGAGAGTACAGATAAAGTGGAGGTTTATGGCTAAAATAGAGTTGCCTTTGAAATAACTTAAATAACATTTAAAAGTGAGAACACGGACGGGGCATATCGTTTCTAAGGTGTTAAAAAGGTTGGCACCTCCCTTTGAAAATGTATGCGTTGAAAAGAGACGAGCCGTAAAACACGTTGCCAGTGGCCACGTGTGTTTGCCTGCACACGAAAAAAAATCCCGTCTCTCACATGCCGCCACGGCCTCCTCCCAGCCGCGCCTATCCAAAGACAGCCTCGCGTCTCCAAAGACAGCCTCGCGTCTCCCTTTGGGAACTTTGTGTCGATGACCTTCGTGCATTTCTGTCTCCCCCCCCCCCCTCCGTTATTTATTGAAAACACTATAAAGCACCTTTCCTCATCGCTCCCTATCTGTGGACCGTTATAAATGTTTTAACCGTCAAACTTTCCTCACTCCGTGTCACCGGTGTCTATAGACATGCAAGTGTGATGTATGCTGATATATAGCTAAATCGAGGTGAGTTATAGGAGGCGCGGCCCCGTGCTATGCATTCATGTCCACGCGTGGTCGTGACTCGACTTTTTTTAGACGCAAGCTGAAAACACCACTCCCGCCATTGCCATTTAGGATTTGTCTCAAGTGCGCACGGCGTTCATTGTTTGTGATCTCGCGTTTTGTTCTGCAGCATTTTGGTTGGTGCCAAAGGCAACGTATTCTGCATACATATATTATGATTAATTGCAAAAGCACATGGTCCTCAGAAAGCATCTTGGGATTCTTTGAAGCTCCAGTTTTGTAGGGCCAAAGTAAGGCACCCCGGTTCAGAAAATATATAATGCACAAGGCTTTGCACACAGAAAAGTGTGAGTATTTATTTAAAGTCAATGTTATGCAAATTTGCTTGCATCTACTGCACATCATGTATGCCTTTAAATTGTTTTTGTTAAAGCAGTCCTACAACATCGCAGCACCTGTTTTACATTCATTTCAGAGCAAACGTATAATTTGATCAAAACATGCATAAAACATAATGGGACCTCCTTTGCCAGTGTCAAAATATAAGAATGTGTTTTCCCCTTTTTTTCTGGCAACAAAACATGTGTTTAGATGTTAAAATGTAGTTGCTCACCCCGAGCTCTCATTGACCTGATAGTGATTGTCTTTGTGTTGTTTGCCTTTTGACGTCCTCTGGTCAAAAACTGTTTGAGACTAGGCTCGAAAGAAGGCTGTCTCTGGTGTGGACCAATCAGTTTCAAAGACAATGCATATACTGTCAGAGCATGTTTTTTTTGTATTTTCACCACAATTATCAGTGGTTAATGCAGACATGATTCCTTGCAAAAGCTTTCAGTTTGGTGTTTTAACATCTTAGCACTTGTTTTATTGACAGAAAAAAGGGGGAAACCTATTCTTACGTATGAAACATCTCCGCCTAAAAAAAGTCAAGAAAACTTG